CTAGTCTTCCTGGTTACCATTTCCCAATGCCACTGACTTTCCCTTAATCCCTCATCTACTTTCTCCAACCCCACACTGACCATTCCCCAATCGCCTATTGACCGTTTCCAAACCTCCCGCTCATCATAAATGATTTTGATGGGCGCAGCACACCTGCCCCGTCCCAAAGCCCCTGCTCCCTCTCTCCCCAGAGCGTCTGGCCACGGTGAAGAGCGGGATGTCCGACGTGCATGCTGCCACTGGCAGCCCGGCCGAGCTGTGCGTAGTGCTTAACGACAAGAAGGTGGAGGGCGTGTGGCTGAAGGATGGCAAGGAGGTTGGAGCAGGGGCTCGAGAAGGCGACCCCGGAGGAAGGAGTTCAGTGGGCACACAGTTGCACTCATGCCCATCCCTCGCCCCCAGATCACGGACTTGCCAGGCGTGCAGATCGTGAAGCAGGGCGCAGTGCACAAGCTCATCTTCCCCAACATGGGCCCCGAGCACGAGGGCAAGTACACATTCCGGGCCAAGGGCGCGGAGAGCGAAGCCTCGCTTTTCATTGCAGGTAAGGTCCCCGCCCACCGTGGACAGGCCTCAACCACGCCCACCCGCCCACGTGCTCGTGGCCCCTCTTCCACCCCTGTCTCCTCCCTGCTGGTCAAGCCTTCCCTGCCGCCCTGTCCTGCAGATCCCCCCACCATCGACCCGTCTGTACTGGAGGCACTGGCCGCGCACCCCGTGACTGTGAAGGTGGGCCACACTGCGAACATCAAGGTGCCCTTCCGGGCAAAGCCACTTCCCAAGGTGATGTGGTACAAGGATGGGGTGGAGGTGACGGAGGAGGAACGCGTGTCCATGGAGTGCAGGGAAGACCAGGCGCTGCTCACCATCTCCAACTGCGTGCGGGAGGACAGCGGCCTTGTCCTGCTCAAGCTCAAGAATGACCACGGCTCAGCCACGGCCACTCTGCACCTCAGCGTGCTGGGTGAGGGCGGGCCCCTGGCTGGGCTGGGCTGGGGGCACCTGCTGCCCAGTGCTCAGGGTAGAAGGCAGACTGGAGAGAGTTGAGTCGGGGTTGAGAACGGTACTGGAGTGCTGGCTATGCAGCCAGAAGCCCCATCTCCTAACTAGGAGGCCTTAGGCAAGTCAATTACCTTCCTAAGCCTCAGTTTCTCTGTGGAACAGGGTGATTTTTTTTTTTAAAGTATCTATTTCAAGTGAATAGAGCATGCCACAGAGGGCATAGCACATAACAGACCTTCAAATGGTACTGAAGTATTGTTGCTGGCTTGGAGACAAGAACATGGTTGGGAGTATGGTGGCAACGAGGTAAAAGAGAGGTGGGGTTTTAGGGATGAAAGTGAGGATGGTTGGGAAGAGCAGTGGGGTTGGGAGTGAAACAGGGTGAGGGGATGTGAGATAGAATTGAGGATAAAGTGAGACTGGGGGGGAAGATGGAATAAGGGTGGAAATGGGATTTGAAGTGAGAAACAGGCCTAAGTGAACTCATATTCCATATGCAACACACACGTACCTTCGCCACCTCCTCCTGCATCTCCGTCAAGCTGGGGGGGGGGAGTTTGGGTTTCGGTTCAGTCTAATAGCAATTAGCACCTCCTTTGTGTTCTCAGTCCTGAGGACACAGAGGTGAAGTATCCCCAGAAGGACAGAAGCTTGTAGACGTGATTATAACATAAGGCAGACTGTAATGCCGGAGGACACTGGAGTTCTGGGAGCTCAGAGAGGGGGAGATCTTATCTGGAAGGGGACAAGATGGGGATTTGCCAAGGTTCCTCAGGTCGTTAGTCCACCCACTCCTAGGCACACAGGAGTCTCGGGCGGGGGTGGGGGGAGAGGCAAGGATCAGTCTTTGGACACAGGGAAGGGTGGGGAACCCGGAAAGTTCAGAATCTAGCTATGTTCCAGGCTGGCTGGACTTCCGGTGAGTGGGATGAACCCCTCTGACCCTTTGCTTCAAAGCCCCATTCTGATGCCATCTTGTGTCCTCAGACCGCCCCAACCCCCCCCCAGGGCCAAGTGGAGTTCCTGGAGCTCTCGGGTAATTGTGTGCACATGAAGTGGAAGGCCCCAAAGGACAATGGTGGGCAGCCTGTGACACAGTTCATAGTGGAACGGAGGGCAGTCGGCAAGAAGTCCTGGATTAAAATAGGCGAAGCAGACAGCAAAGTCACCAAGTTCTCCACCAACAAAGTGGAAGAGGGAAAAGCCTACCAGTTTCGCATCCTAGCTGTCAATTCGGAAGGAGTGAGCGACCCTCTGGAGACCATAGATGAAGTGTTCGCAGGAAATCCTATTGGTCAGTGAGATTGCCCCATGCTCAGTGGGGAATTCAGGGGTCAGGATGGGGGCCTTTAGCCAGTGAGGAATGCTGGTCTCTGGGGAATTTCACAGGGTCATTTCTCTAACCACCCCATGAGACAGACGGATTCCAGAGTGAGAGCCAAACATCCTGTGGGGCAGGAATTCTCAACTTTTTCCAGTCAGAGCGCATGTGTGTATATCCAAAACTGCACAATTCCAAGGACCTGACTCCACTTGTTTCTCCATTCCAGAAATCATCCCAAATCCAAGTGAGAGTGATGTTACTTTAGGGATAACCTTGAATCCATGCTCAGTTTTTAAACAAAACAAAACAAAACAAAACCCTTGACAACATCAGTATTTTAATTATGATTACTAATTAATTACCTGCTACACTCCTTCCAACTGATCTCCATGTCCCAATGTGTCAGGACAGTACATTAAGAACTGGGGCACCCTGGCCCATTAGCTCAGTTAGTTAGAGCAGCATCCTATGCAACAAGGTTGTGGGTTTGATGCCTGGACAGAGCACATACAAGAGTCAACCAATAAGTGCATAAATAAATGGAACAGTAAATCAATCTCTCTCTCTCTCTCAAAATCTATCAAATAAAATTTAAAAAGAACTGGGTATTGGGGGTGACACAGGTTGGAAGGTTTAAGTCAGTGATTCCCAATTTTGGCTGCACATTAGAATCACCTGAGGTCTTTTTTAAACTGCTGGGCCTCTACCCCAGTTCAATTAAATTAAACTATCTGGAGGTAGGACCTAGACACTAGTTATTGGTGGTGTGAGGTTTTTTTTGTGTATGTGTGTGGTTTTTTACATCCCACTTCATATTAATATGCACCCAGAGTTACGAATCACGGGTTTAAGTTGTTGTTTTTTAAGGAGGCAGCCAGAGGTCAGCATGGAGTAGGCAACTGTCTATATGCTCCCTCTCCTAACCTCTTCCCTCTCTCCATTCCCTATAGAGCCCCCTGGTCTTGCCTCTCAGCCTCAAGTGACTGATGTGACCAAAGAGACTGTGACTATCACATGGAATGCCCCCACTCAGGATGGGGGAGCCCCAGTGCTTGGCTACATTGTGGAATGAAGGAAGAAAGGCAGTAACCTGTGGGTGCCATTCAACAAAGACCCCATCCAGGGTGAGTTCCTGGTGACAGAGGCCCAGGAGGGACTAAGGGAGCCTTTGCTAAGTGGACCATGACCTCTGTTGCTCTGAACATACTCCCTCCCCTAACTCCTCTGGGGACTTTTTTTTATTTATTTCAGAGAGAGGAAGGGAGAGGGAGGGAGAGATAGAAACATCAATGATGAGAGAGTGTCATTGATCAGCTGCCTCCTGCATGGCCCCCACTGGGGATTGAGCCCACAACTCAGGCATGTGCCCTGACCAGGAATCAAACTGTGACCTTCTGGTTCATAGGTCGATGCTCAACCACTGAGACACACCTGCTGGGCTCCTTTGGGGATTTTAATATCATCCCACGACCCCCTCTTCCATGCTCTCTCAGCCTGTGGACCTTCTGGCCTCATGACCCCTCTAATTCCCATTTCAGGTACCAAGTGCACAGTGGATGGTCTCCTGGAGGATACTGAGTATGAATTCCGAGTTATAGCTGTGAATAAGGCAGGCCCCGGACATCCCAGTATGCCATCCAACTCAGTGGTGGCCAAAGACCCTGTAAGTGAGTTTGGGGCTGCCAGGCCCCAACACACAGTGGAATTCGCCCATTCACAGTAGAGAGAGGATTTCTCCTATGGGAAAGTCTGGGGTGAGGGGCACGGACAGGGTATCAAAGAGTCTTCAGTTTCTGGGAGGTGCCAGCCTGCTGGAGGGACAGAATTCAGACACATATGAAAGCCAGCAAATAAAGACTGAGAACCAGAGACAGTGAGGAGGCAGTTTGGAAAGAAGTTTTTTTATTAAACTTTGAGTATTTCTGGTATTAGGTGAGGTAGTAGAACATGGTTAAGGATGAGGTAGGGGTGCTAGGCAGATGGTTGGGAGGGTGCTGAGTTTAGGAGTTGGGGTGATGGTACTGCATGTGAATGGATATGGTGGAGGCAGATGGGTTAAAGGTTGGGGTTTTGAATATAAAGGGGTTGAATGTGTAGAATATGTTGAATTTGGAGGATACTGACTTCAAGGGTGAAAGTGTTAAGTCAGTGAGAGAATTGAATTCAGAGATTGTTGAGTGTGCAAGGTCAGGTTTTGAGGGTGTTGACTGTGGGAGTTGGAGACAGAAGCTGTGAAGTTAGGTTTCAAGGCTACTGAATGTGGGAACTGGCAGGGGGTCGAGTGGAGATGAGTTTGAGGGCTGACTGGATGTATGTTGGCCCCCAGAACCCCCAGGCCTGGTGCAGGGCCTGCCCGTGTCTGATTCCTCCAACTCCAGTATCTCCCTGGCCTGGCGGGAGCCTGCAGAGGGAGACCCACCCTCTGGCTACATCCTGGAGATGCGGGCTGAAGACGCCAAAGAGTGGTCCAGGTGCACAAAGATCCCCATCTCGGGCACCTGCTACACGGTGGGGGGCCTCACTGAGAGGCAGAAATACTTCTTCCGAATCCGGGCTGTGAATAAAGCTGGGGTCGGGGAGCCTGTGGAGCTGGATGAGGGGGTCCGTGCCATGCCACCACCAGGTGAGAACACAGAGGGCTGGGGGGCTTACGCCCCAATATCCTGGGTTCCAAACCTTCTCCTCTGGTCCTCATTCCACAGGGGAAAATTGGGTCATGCTGGGATCAAGAAAAAGTCATCCATACTTGTGCCTGGACAGAGCCAGGGGTGACCCTAGGGGCTTCCCCACTAAAAAAGAAAAGAAAGAAACAAATAAGACACTGGACCTGCCCTCAAGGGTCTTAGAGGGAGACAGGAAACAAATAAATGCTTCACAGTGATGCAGGGCTGTTAAATGTCTGTATGGCCTATAATGGGGACAGGAAGGAGGAGGGGTTGGGAAAGGCTTTGGAAGGGAAACTTAAAACTGAGTCTTCTGGAAAGAGAGGTTCATGCCTCAGTCTCTGTCTCCTCCATCTCAGCTGCCCCTAAATTTGACCTCAGTGCCCGGCTGAAGAGTCACATGGTGGTTCGTGCTGGAACAGCCCTCTGCGTCCACGCTGCCTTCTCTGTGAGTCATTCCTGACCCTGGCCCCCGATGCCCACCACTTAACCAAGAGGCCTGCCATAGCTCATAGTCTCTGCCTCTGACTCTGCCCCTGACTCTGCCCCTCGCCAGTCTCCTGGCACTAGAGCCTGGCAGGAGACTCCTCAACAGAGGGGAGGGCCTGCCCCGAAATACCACCTGGGTGACCCCTGGTGCCATTTCCTGTCACCACCAGGGCTCACCACCACCCAACGTGATCTGGCAGAAAGATGGCATCCCCACCAAGGGCAGGGAAACCATCTCCAAGGGTAAAAACCACTCCCAGTTCCTCATCAACAGCACCAAGCGCTCCGACTCGGGGGTGTACCACATCTTGCTCCAGAATGAGTTTGGAGAGGCACACTATGACATCCATGTACGAGTGGCAGGTATGACAGTGATGGAGGCCTTGGGGAACATCCCTGTACACTGTCCAAACCACAGTTCCCTCTGCTGCTGGAGTTCCTACCACTGTCAAGTCATGCCTTCAGGTAGCGAAGGCTTCTTTGGCAGCACAAAGTAAGATTTGACCAGCCTTCGCCTTAATGGGGAGGGTTGTTTCCATTTTTTTTCACTGTCCTGAAGCCCTAGGGGCCTTGAACTAGAACTGAGCCCTTGTTTCAGTCTCTGCAGTCATATCTGGTGAGCTTCAGGACATATGCAGAGTAGGTCTGGAAAAAAAGAGCAGAGAATGGGTGACAGGCAGGAGGAACAGACGGAGATGACCTCTTAGAAAGGGCTGGAAGCTTTAAATTAAGCCCTAAACCCCCACAGGATGAAGGGATGAACTTTTATTGAACAGTTACTACATGCCAGGCACTTTACCCAAATTTCTCTGATAGTTATTGTTAGCCCTACTTTGCAAAGGAGGAATTGGGTCTCAGAAAATATACGTAACTTGGTGATTCACAGGGCTAGTAAACAGGAGAGCTACACTTCAGAAACAGATCTTTCTGACTTCAAGGCACCAGCCACCTGAGACAAAGGGCTTGTCCAGTGACTAGGGTGGGGCAGGGTGGTTGATGGACCCTCTGACTGTTCCAGATTTTCCACGGCCACCCACAAACCTACAGCTGTTTGAGGAGGTTCCCAACACGGTGACTCTGAACTGGAACCACAGCCCCGACGTGCAGGAGGATGGGGAGGCCCACTACGTCATCTTGAAACAGGATGCCAGCACCACCACCTGGTTCACAGCAGTAGAGTGTGTCTTCAGCAACAAGTACACAGTGACAGGGCTGCTTCCTGGCAGGAAGTACTACTTCCGAGTGTTGGCCCGGAATGAAATCGGTGACAGCGACTCCAAGGACACTTGGCTCGTCAACAAGGACAAGAGTGAGTCAGGGTATTTGGGGGTTCAGGTTATGTCTGAGATCCCTGATGCTGGGGATGACATAAGGATTGCAAGGGGTACCCAGGATTTGAGGTAAAATCAGAGAACCATTGAGATAGGACGGAGAACATTGGGAAGCTGGGCAGAGAAGTAAAGGTGAGGAGGCCGAGGGGAGAAGCCACCTTTGGGGTACACTGAGGAGTGGGACTAAGGGGACAGGGGACAGTGGTGGGCCAGAGGAAGGGGCCGGGGTATAGTGCTGAGAGTGGTCCTCTCTGAGCCCAGGGGCTGAAGGCGGTGAGGACTGGGATGGATCTCCAAGGGGCAGGGAGTGGGCATGAAGTCCAGCAACTGTGGAAGGAAGGGGCGATTGGCGGGGATAGTGTCAGGAAATGTGAAACGCAGGGCTACGTGGGAGAGAGCTGAGACCATGGAGGCTGGGAGGACATTGAGGAAAGCTTCGAGGGGGGATTAAAAGCAGGATAACATCTCAGGTCTAGGAAGCTGGTGGCTGGACAGAGGTCTAGGACTCCAGAGTCTGGAAAAGCATACAACCCTGCAGACCTGGCTTAGGGTGAGAAACCCTAAAGTGGCAAAGGGGTGGGAGGGTGGTGGAAGGGGAACCTTAGGAACCAATAAAAAGTCAGTCCCCCGAGTTAGTGGTGTCTAGGAATCTAACCCAGGTCATGGGGAATTCCACAAGCTGGATCTCAAGGGCACCTTCTGAGCTCTAAGATGGGGGTGATGGGTAGGGGCCTGGAGGTGCTCACCGCCTCTGTATCCCATCTGTGCAGTCGAGGACCTGAGCGCCAAGCTGAAGCCCTACGAGAAGAAGGACTGGCGCCACACGCCGCGCTTCCTGACTCCGCTCAAGCCGCACACGGTGCTGCGTGGCCAGGACTGCACCATGACCTGTGCCTTCCTTGGGAACCCCCGGCCCACAGTGACCCTCTGCAAGGGCAATGTTAACATCACAGCCAACTCCAAGTTCTGGTACAACTCCACCAGCGGTGTGTGCACAATTGTCATCCCCACCTGCACACTCAAGGACAGCGGCGAGTACAGTGTGCTAGTGGAGAACGAGCTGGGCAAGGACCGCAGCAGCTGCACACTCACCGTCTATGGTGAGAGTGCTGCGGGATCAGCCTGGGGTGGGGTGGGCATCTGGGGCAGACACACAAAATGGCGGTCTCGTGGGTGGTGACTCTTCATATGGCTGGCAACGTTTGGTATTTAATCTGCCACCAGGTGGTATAAACATTGGCCATAGTTGGTACCACTCTCCAACTTCAATGTCATTTGTTATGTGCCTGGCCCCTGCAGACCCTCAGCAGACTGTAGTTTGCATCCCTTGGTAGGCCCAGACTTGCCTTGAAAAAGACACTGAACAGGCCTAAACCAGACTCACCAGTCACAGTCTCTCTGCAAGTGTCATGGAAGGAATCTTTATGTTACAAATTCTTGCAAGTGATTCAAGACTGAAAGCTCCTGGTCTAAGACAAGGGGGGATGGGAGGCACGAATGAGGGGAAGATGAAGGGAACCTAGTGGAGGCCCTTGCTGCGCACATGTGCCACATTTGTTTGTGTGCACACAAGCTAGTAGCATGAGCTCTTCACAGCTACACAGCTAGTAGCATGAGCTCTCTAAATGCAAAGCTGACCTGCCTTGTTGCCTATTGCTGAACTCCCTCCTAGCCTTCCCATGATCCTCTTGATAAAATCCCGACCAACAAGGCTCCTCCCCGACCACAACTACTTCTCCAAGCTTCATTGGCTGCCACTCCCTGAACGCTCCATGGCATTCCATTGGTGTCCTTGGTCTCCATAATTACAGACATTATTCATCCTGTTGTAGATGCCTTTCCTTGGGGAAAGGACTATGTCCTGTTGCTCTGTCTCTCAAGTCAGCTAAGAGTCTGGCACACTGAGGTGATGCCTTCAGAGTGGCTGCTGAACTGTGACAGAACTAGACCAGGGAAGGCACTGTGGCAGATATCTAGCTCTCATACCATAGCCAGAGAGATCCCTGACAACTCAATTCTTATTGTTAAGCACATGGGCTCAGGGCCCTGGCTCTACCACTGACCAGCCATGTGACCTTGACAAGCCAGTCTGAGCCTATTTTCCCATCTTCTTAGGGTTGTTATGAGGTTTAAATGAGATAGTGCGTGGAAGTTCCTGGCACAATGCCTGGTAAATATTAAGTGCTAAATAATGGACAGCTCTTGGCTACACACTCAGCTGACCTCGGGAAACTGGAGCGGGGTCCCAGGCCGGGTCCGACCCTTGGTTCCTGCATAGTAACTATAAGTCCAGCAGTGTGGAGTTTCCCTTACCCCTGGCATCACTAAAACTAACAAATACTTGCTTTGTTCTTTCAGACAAAGATGACAAGTCAATTCTAGCATCAGTCACCGAGGGTCTGCAGAAGAAATCAAAGTACCTTATTTGAGCTCCAGCCCAGTCCAGGCATCAGGATGTTGTGAAGTGGTAGGACCTCTTGGCCTGTCTTCTGCAAGACCCCAGTGAGGGAAGCCCAGTTTGCTCTCTGGTGCTTGTCAACGTAAACATTCATTGAAGAGATGGGACAATAAATTGATCAAGCTCACCTTTTCCTATTCCTGAGGGTGGTGTACAGCTGGTATACAGCAGAAACCAAGGAGATGGGAGTAGAATGGGGATTCACACAACCCAGACTGCTGAGAGCCTGGTCCAAACCTACCCACGTAGGGAGTGACCAGCCTCCTTTTGACTGGGCCTTTGCCTTCCCCTCCTCCATAGCCACACTGCACCCTCCCCCCGCTCAGGGCATGGGTGGGAAGGTCATGCCAGATTCACCCTTCTTCCCATCCTGCTCCCTCTCATTTATTTATACCAGGTAGGTCTGTCATCAGAGGTCTAGGTTTGAAGGGATCTGGCGTCTTTAGTGTCCAGGGTTACCAGTATTTGAGAACTAGAGCATCAGAGCTAGAAAGGATTTGTCATCCAGCTCTAGGTTTCAAACTTATGTTTTTGCAGTAGAATACTACCTTTAAAAAAACAAGGCGAGGGGTCTTTGACCCTCCCTCCTCTACTTACTCTTTTTCTATCTCCCACCAGAGATTTCTGTAAAAAACCTTTTTTGAAAACCACTGATTCATTCAACACCCACAAAGGACTTGAATCACCTTCTGTCATATCCCCACAACTGTAAAACCCCTCTACTAATGGCATTTTTAACACCACCCAAGGCTTCCCTTTCAAATTCTGGGTCAAAGCACTGCCCATTAGGATGCAAATGTCCCTGGAGTATAGGGGACACCTAATTCTGCCAGGGCTTCACATCAAAAGTATGAATCACCCAGTCTAACCACATTCCTCCCAGCTGTTCAACTCTAAGAAGAGAGGAGATGGTTGAAGGGAATCTGGATCATTTTGGAGCAGGCAGCAGGTCTGGGGTGGGCAGCAGCAGGACACTGGGTAACTAAGGATCACCAAAGGTGCTGGGCACCCATGCACAGGCAAGTGCATCAAGGACAAATCTGGACAGTAGCAAATATTACCCATCCCCCGTCCTCCTGAACTACATCCTCCCCATACACGTGGCCAGGGAAGTGAGACCCACTCCAACCAGCAGTGTTACCAGAGCCAGGGAGCCAGCCTGGCGCCAAGATGCACTGGCCAGTACTGTGACCCAGGCTGTGAGGACATCCAGGGCCCCTTGCTCCATGCCCCCACACCCTCCTCTCCAGGACAGGCATGTGCCACACAGACAGACAAGCAGGGCAGCTAAAGGCCCTTTGTTTTTATTTTTGTTTTTATTTTTATTTTTTCATATGAACAGTAAAGGATGGCGTTGTCCCATCCTTGCTCACCTTGCATTGAATGTGCCTCGGGTCTTATGGCCCTAGAGTGTCATTGGAGCCCCCCTCCTCTTGCTCCCAGTGGAGTAGTAGGGAGGAAAGAACTGGGGGCAGGGGTATTAGGGCTCCCAGCTTTCCAAGCCAGGCTCAGCATCCCTTCAGCAGCTCCCTGAGGCCTCTCCTTATAAGACTTTAACAGACAGCAGAACAGAGACAGATGGCAAAGAAAGACACAGGCTGGGAGACAGATTGTATACACACACACACACACACACACACACATAGGCTGACCCCTTCCTTTGGCATGGTTCACCCTAGCCCTGGGGATAGGGTCTGAGGGTGGTGATGTAGGTGGGGCCTGAGCTCTGGGCTGGCCTTTGAGAAAGATAGGACCAACTTGAATCCTTGATACCCCAAGCTCCCACCCAAAGAAGTCCCCTCTCTTGCCTACTTGGACAGACACCTTCCTACCCACCACATAGAGATTGAGATTGTTCAAGTAACAAGGATAGATGAGGGAAAGGGAGACTCCACCCCCATCTAATCTTCCCAACTAGGGACATTCAAAAGGGGCTTCAAGCCCTGGCACAGATTTCTCCCCTCCCCTCAATTCTACATAGATCAGAAAGAGTGGGAATGGGTGAGCCAGACTCTTCCATCTAGTAGAAGTTGGGGGAAGGTCAAAAAGCTGAGCACCATCAGCCTCCAGAGGGGCTTTGACAATCCCAATGGGGTAGAGGTGGGGAAATGTCGACCTCTGGCTCCAGCAAGGAGCATCAGTCTGGCTCTTCTTCGTTCTCGGCATTGTCCTAGACCACTAGCTTTGTTAGAGAAATCCTTTCCTGCTCACCTCCTCAAACTTGTACATTTTTCAGGTGGCACATGATGCCTCAATCTGAAACTGCAGCCATCCTGAACCAGCTCTTGCAGGTTCCCAGGTTCTGGACCCCAGTCCCAGGAGAGGATGGGTGACCAGACCCTAGCCCCTCAGTTGGCCTTGCTCAGTCTGTGGTCTTCTGCTGGCTCCCGACTCTCAACAGCTGACAGGGCAATGAGCATCTGGGCAGCATAGTACGTGGACATGATGACTGCCCGTGAGTAGGGCACGGGAAAGCAGAACTTGTTGACGGCGATGGTCACATCTGAGATGATAAAGAGTACTGCACCACTGCCAGCCGCCAGCTCAGTCCAGCGCCAGGCTGCCCCGACCAGCCGCAGCCCTGCTATAGCCCGCCAGCCCATGAAGCTGATAAGGGCCACATAGGCTCCCACCAAGTAGGTGAAGGCACCTGAGAGGCCCGGGTAGAGGAAGGCATAGAACAGGCACGAAAGCACTGCTATCACCAGACCTGTCCGAAGAGCCAATGGCCGCATGCCAAAGGCCGAGGCGTAGAGCATGTGCGTCACGGCAAACATCAGTAGACCTGGGAGTGAGAGAACGAGGGGCTGCTGAGGGCAGGCTCAGATGAGTGATGAGTAACAGGGGCTGGGGGAGGGAGTGGAGTGTTTGGGATAACCCAAGAGCTTTGTTTTGGGAGAAACAGGGGTGGGAAGAAATCCACAAAGGTAAAGACCCCCCGCCCCCAACTCCCCTGAGGAACTCCAGAACTGATGACCAGATCACCAGAAGGTCATCCTCCAACAGGGACCCCACAATTACTGGTCTTAGAACCCCTCAGATTCCCCATATTCTTGTTCCAAAGCTCCCAAATCCTTGGCTCCCTAGAACTCTCTGGCCCCCAACCCCAGGATTCCACCCAGGTAGCTACTGCAGCAACTGACCGTGCACAAAGTAGCCCTGGTCCTGCCAGATGAGGAAGGCATCACCTAGGGTAGAGAAGACGAGCCCCACAAAGATGCGGGTGGCACTGGGGTGGGCCAGCAGGAATCCTAGGCCATGGGCCAGAAGAAAGAGCCAGAGGCAGAAGACGGGCAGGCACTTGATGAGGGCGCTGACCCACGATGGGCTGGACGAGGGCAGCCAGAGCACAAAATACACACAGGTGGCCTTGAAGAAGGGCACCAGCTTGGGTCCCTCACTCTTCACCTGGAGGATACAGGACAAGGGCAGTACTCAGAGCTTGGGAGTTCAGAGGACCATAGGAGAGCTCAGAGCCAGCACCTTCAGCCCAGACATTCGCCCCAGAGACAGGCCCACCTCCCAACTGCAGAGGACTGACACACAGAAATCAGTTTGGCCTGCCCCAACCAGCCAGCAGATGTGAACAAGCCCATCGCTGCCCTGAGGCTTAATTCATTAGGCAGGGGAAGGGCTCCACCATTCCTGCTGGCCATATCCATTCTTGACCCGGGGGCAGGACCAGAATGGTCATTCACTAGGCAGAAAACAGATCTTGAGACAATGTCCTCTCCTAAGCCTAAATGCTTCTCCCTTCCTGCCAGCCTCCTTGTCCCTCCCCAAAGCCCCTTTAGCCCCCCCTCTGCCAGCCTCAGCCCCAGCTGTCTGAATGGAGTATAGTCAGCAGGAAACCAGAGAGACGCCACAACTGGTCAACTCGTGATCCTCAGCAGCGGGCCAGGGCACAGGCTTAGGGCCCTAGCAACACCAGGTGAGTGCCAGGAATGCATGAGGTGGTGTGTTGCCAATCACCTCAGGCTCCACAGGCTCTCTCCTCAGCCAGTCTGCTACTCAGCCTCCACTCCTACTGCTCCAGTGTAAAGGTAACCGTCATGGGCAATGAGAGGAACTAGGGATACTGGGTAGCGAAATGGTCCCATGAGTTGGGAGCAAAACTGTCCCCAAAACACCAGCAATTTCAGCGACCTGAGGGTTGGAGGGGGGTATCAGTCTCATTTCCCAGAGAACAAGAGCAACTCAAGGCACATCAGAGAGAGAGGCAGGAAGGGGTGGGGGTTCTCTTCCCAGCTTTTGATCTGAAGCCAGCAGACGGGCTGGGAGGAGATGGGGAATTAAGAGGGGGAAGTTAGAGCAGCTGACCTGGTCTCAGCCCCAGTAGGGAGGGAGGGCAGCTAAAAAAAGGTTGTGTCCAAGGTCACTGCAGGCACTCTCCAAGCTGAGGGAGGGGAGCTGCTGCAGATATTCTGAATATGTGATCCCCTGAAACTCCTTTCCTTGGGCTTCTGGTACAATGTGTCTAAGAGCTATTCAGAGCAGCTGAGGTGCCCTGTACACCCACACTCTGCCCAGAGTGATTGTGCCTCTGTCTGGGTGAGCTGTCCAGCACAGGGCTCAGGGAACAGTTTCCCAGACCACCAGTTACCTGGGGACTGATCACACTGTGATGAAGGAGGTTGGGAAGAGGAAGATGGGTGGGTTAAGGATCTAAGCCTGCCCTTACTCTGCCAGGGTGACAGCAGGAAGAACAGATGACTAAGTCCCTTCCTCTGGAGATGCCCCCATCCATCCAGGCAGGGCAGGGCAGGGCAGGGCACCGGCAGAGGAGGAGACTGAAGGAGATAGATGAACAGCTCCCACAGTCCCCAGATCTCCCCAGCATCCACCTGCCAGGCCTCGGAAGCATCAGCATCAACGTCTGCTCCATACCCCTCCCGCAGCCCCATATTTCCTAGGAGAAGTAGGCAATAGTAGCTGGAGAGACTTTGACAGCCATAAAGAACCCAGCATTAGAGGAAATTTGGGGAAAAGGTTAGTGTCAATAGAGAGTGACCCCTCTTCCTGCGGCGTGTTATCAATGATGCTTAGACTCAGGGGCGTCCGCTCCCCGGTCCCAGACTTGTTTATAAAATGAGGAAGGGGAGGGAACAGATTCGGGACAGGATTCCCAGGAGGACCCAGTCACCCTCCTGCCCTCCCTCGCCCTCTCCCACGCCTCCCTGTCGTCTGCCCACGCAGAGCCCGGCAGCGAGCTCCGGCACCCTTCCCGGCTCCAGCAGCAATCCCGCAGACCCGCGCCAGACACACAGAAATCAACAAAGTCACGCTTCCGAGTCACGTGCCCACGGCGTCCCTCCCCGCCGCGGGC